TTATTGTTCATTCTTCCAGTCGTGAGACCATGACATACTTGAACAGCCCCTACAACATGGATCTATTCCTCTTCTGTCCATCAGCTGAGCACCAGCCTGTCGCTGCCTCAGCCGTGTTTCAAGAGCATCTGTGTAGACTGGACTGCTGTAAGTGCCCAACTTTTTTTTAACTTAAAGCACCACTATGTTTTCCCATGTCGGCCTCGGATGGGCCTCCCATATATTGGGAGGCCGAAACGAAACGACGGCCGGCAATGAGACTTATCAACGGCGGCTGTCGTCGGGCCCAGCCCCCAATTTTTTAGGAGTAGGATATTTTCCCGTTTTGGTTTAACAGATTCATAAGAAATTACCATAAACCAAAGTTGCTTTCTAGTTTTCACTTGCGCTTACAGCTGTCCATGTGCACAAGAATGAACACATGACAGTCCCCAATTTAGACGATGTTTTAACCAAAAGCTGGAATCTGAGCTGACCTCCTCTAGTCGAAGAAGCAGGTACTTGAGATCCTCGAGTGTTGGTGAACTTCGAAGTCGTCGCCTCCAGCCACTCCATCCTCCTTGTGGTCGCTGTCCAAATCCCTCCAGCTGTTCCTGAGCTTCAGAAAACCAAGGACCAACGGTGATTTCTGTCAGCGAGGAAATCCACATCTTCAAACTTTTGAAACTCTACCAGGGAGTCTCTGGCAGACCCAGAATACATTCAGGGGCTTGTGTTTGATGGCAACCTGCTGGAACCAGAGTTTTAACCACAGTTTAGCCCTTGAGTTAAGTCCTGACCATTTTTACTAGATCCACCATTTTATGCCATGGGTGTCGGACATACCACCAAGTACAATCAAGTGGTACAGGGATCCACGGACAACATACATACACCTCAGACTTTTAGAGGCCCTTAAACAACCAGACCTGCTCTTGGATCACTTAGCACAATGCCAGACACTCCATTGCCCCACCTTCAAAGATAGGAATACCACAAATGAAACAAGTTAATATTGGCAAACTGAATATCCAGTCTATCTTAGCATTGTTGAAGCTCATGTGATAGATCACTAGAAGGTAAGAGGAGCTATTGACTTCAATCCATGATGATAGGGAAGTACAGATGTCAACAGAGTTAGTGTAATAACCATGGTAACCGACCGGACGTCCGGACCGGTTTCCAGACAAACCCAAACATTATGTAAGGGTCCGGTGTCCAGTCCTGGACGTCCGGAACCGGGCCCCCCAACGAAAAATCAGAAAAAAAAAAGGGGCCGCCAAGGACATTGTTCGGGTCCTCCGCGGCCCCGGAAAAATACTGCGCTGAACTTTGTGTCTTTTCGCCCTACCAGAGATCGGTCATGCCGGACCCACTACAGTCTGTGCAGACTGAGGTGGGGTGGCGGGAGGCAGGGCCAGCAGTTTTAAACTGGCCGTTTTTGAATCTCGCGGGCGCACTGTTTGGAAGCCGCCAGCTGCTGCCCGTCACGTCCCCCCTGCAGCCCCGCAGCCATCCTCGACGAAGCCGCCATCGCCGACGAAACAGCCAGCCGCTGCCAACGTCCAGCCCTCGCCAACGAACCAGCCAGCCGCCGCCAACGTCCAAGAGGCAGGTCAGTCTCTCTCTCTCTCTCTCTCTCTCTCTCTCTCTCTCTCTCTCTCTCTCTCTCTCTCTCT